CGCGATTGGGAGGCGTGGCTTGAGTGATATGTCACACCAGTAAAAGGCGTCTCTGGTCGGCCGTCATCGAATCCATAACCCTTGCCTGGCGTGTCTTTTATGTTCATTAGGCTCTTCGGGCGATCTTTGCCAAATTTCTTGCGGTAATAGCTGCCAGCACTTGTAGCACTCATATTCGTAGCAGAGTGTCCAGACATCAAGCTGCGGTTAGTACTGTTACTAGTGAGAGTTGTTGCCGTCGTTGTCGTCGAATTCGTTTTGCTCGTAAAGGTACGGCCTAGTGCGTTACGGCCAATGTCATAAGCGGACTTGCGATTTCTGAGTAGTCTAGATCCTTTCCGCTCCACCTCTTGCTCGATGCCACCCATGGACGATCCCGGTCTCTGACTCGCCGTTTTCAACGGTACCGTAGGTCCTTGATCATCATCCATAAGCATGTCATTGCCATTGTTCTTCTCCTGTTGCTGCATTCGGCGTAAACGACTCTCCATGCGCTGCATGTAATTATTGACATCTGGCGGGGCTTCATCATCGTCATCGTCATCCGGATCCATTGCTGACTGTGCTCTAACTTTCTGCGCGGATGCCTGGTATACTTGGTCAAAGGCTTCTGGCGACCATGGGTTTGATGGTGATGGGATTTGCTCAGGCGATTCATTGCTTTGTGTCGTGGTCATATCTTGCAAAGAGGACATAACATCGTTCATTGCTGTCGTAAGTGGCGAAGGGGTGAAGTGACCACCACGTGACCTCGGGTCAGGCGAAGGCGGTTCGGGCGTGTGATAACCAAGATGCGATGGAGGAGCCGGAGAGGGCGATCGGCTAGGGTTGTAGGTAACGCGATGCGGCGGAGGGGGCGGTGGTGGAGAGTCAATGGGCTCCTCGAGGTCATCTTGGTACGGCGCAGGGGAGGGGCCACGGCTGTGGTCGAGTTGGTGTTGATACGGCGATGGTGAGGGACCTCGGTCGTATGCGCGGTACTGAAAAGATGGAGCTGGTGATGGTGTGTGAGAGGGTCGTCGGAATGAGGGAGCCGGAGATGGACCTCTGTCATAGGCTTGGTATTGGTATGATGGTGCCGGGGACACGGCTCGAGAATGCTGCTGATACTGCGCTGGCGGGATAGGTGACACTCCTCGCTGATATTGATACTGGGTAGGCGGTATGGGCGATACTGCCCGCGGATGCTGCTGATACTGGGTCGGTGGAACGGGTGACACTCCTCGCGGATGCTGTTGATATTGAGTTGGCGGAATGGGCGATGCGGCACGGTATGGGTCATAGGCTTGTTGTGGCGGCGGTGCAGGAGACACTGCTCTGCTGTAGCGCTGATGTTGAACGGGAGGCGCGGGTGAGACGCCACGAGGCTGTTGATATTGGTACGGTGATGGTGGAGCGGGAGAATGCGCGCGTATGCGTGAGCCGTGACGCGAGGGCGGAGCTGGGGAGACTGCTCGGGCTGCAGGTGTTCTCTTGGAAGGTGGTCGTGGGGATACGGCGCGCAGATTCGAGGGTGCTCTTGTCGAGGGGGCGGATGGCGGCGGGCTTTCACTACTCTCCTGAGACATGCGCTTCATTGATGAATATGGCGACTTTGTCTTGACAGTGCCGTTTGCGGAGTTTATGCCACCCGCACGGAGCCTTTCGCGGGCGGCAGCGGCAGGGTTCGGGGCGCCTGCAGCAGCATAGGCAGTGAAGGGTTTCCTGAACATGCTCTTTTGCTTCTGTGGCACAGGCTTGGGCTGTTCCTGCACACTGCTTTGCCTCGAGAAGCTCCCACCACTGCCATTGCGCGCCCATGGCTGATAGTCTTCACTAAGCAGCTCGACAAAGTTGGATGGGAACAAGCCGACCATGCGCCTGTCGCGCTTGAGACGGCCCATCCACCAAGAGCCATCGCCTGCGTTAAGGACCTCGATCAGGTCTCCTTCTATGAATCCCAGGTCTCGTTTGGTCTAGAGAAAGCGGTCAGGTCAGGTGCCGCAGCATGAGGCAGCTTTGGAGGCGAACTTACCTCTCCGCCCCAGGAGTAAACTGCTTTGCACCAGCAGGGAAAGCGCGTGGGCAGCGCCTGACCGACGGCCATGGCGAGGATTAGGTTTGTTGTTGTGGTTGTATGAGGTTGACCTGCAACGGCTGGGATGTGTAACAAGGTGGATTACATGCGTCGCTGGTTGCAAGCGAGAGGATGCGTCGGCCAGGCAAAGGGCGCGACAGACAACAATCGGCGGGAACAATAACAGAGGACGGAGAGCAGTACGGAGAAGGTCGCCAGACCCCGAATGATAGCGGGCAGCGGTATAGCAGAGCAGAGCAGAGTAGAGCAGAGCTAACTAAGCAGGGCCCATGCGACTGACGTCTCGCCTTGGCTTGGTGTTTACCGACTCAAGTCGCCGCTTCCCCAGCAACAGCATCGCCTGCCCACTAGCGCCCCTGCCACAAGCGCCCCGCCCCACCCATCGCCAACACGTCAGCCAGCCCTCACCTCCATCCCCCTAGCCAGCTGCACCTCCAACCACTTATGTACACATCCAAGGACATACCGCGCCATGCATGGAGCAATGCAGGGCAGCGTTGCAGCACACTGGGATCCGCCCTCTCCCGCCTTCGTTCCCACGATGCGCCGCGCACACGCCGTGTTGTGAAAAAAAAAACACAACGGGAACCAGATCATCTTGCGGACCTCTTGAAGCGGATTGTCGATGCGGCTGAGCGTCGATGCGCTAACCAAGCCGCTCCGCCATCAATCCATGGCGCTTAGCCGTGATTGTGCAAGATTTGCTGTCATGCGCTCTTTTTGGTCGCTACCACGCTGTTCAGGGCGGTACGCAGCAAAATCCCTTTGGGGCACCTGGGCCACTTCTGTCATCGGGCATGATGGGCCCCGCGGGAAGATCATAAGCACGATCCTGGGTGCCAGCATCATCTTGAGAGCAGCAGTAGGTAGAGGAGCCCGGCATTGCGGTTCGAGAAACTTGGCTTGGATAACAAATACAGGAACAAGGTGAATCTCTCTCTATGCAGTAACCTAGTCAGGCGTGGCTGGTGGCTTGCATTCGATAGGGCTGTGATGAGCTACATAAAAGAACCGAACCCGTCCGTGAACCCCTAGTGGCTCGACCGTGGCTATATCCATACATGCATGCATGCTTTTTCTCGACTATCAGAATCTTAATCATGGTTCTGTTGGGTGGAGGGGAACCGATCACGTGATGAGCGATGGGGGAGGATAATAAAATCCGGCCCGCTAGTACGGAAATGGATCTGAGAAGTATCACAATGTTCGAAAGCAGTGAGTTCGGAAAGCAACGCATAGTCACATTGATCATAGCTATGGAATGCGGACTAAGAGAGAAGTGAAGCGCCACTGGGGCGAATATGAACAAAAACACCCTTTCCTCCTCGACTGTGTGCTGACTGGGCAGCTGGCATGAATGCCTGCTCGTTTGCTTGACGGCTGGCTGGCAATGCGAATCGCTTACTGGCCGGCGTAGAGCTTGGGGCCGGGCATGGAGTAAGACTTGGGGTTGTTCCACTTGTTGAACTTGATACCGGCATCGTTGGCGCTGTAGAGACCGGGGATCTTGACAGTGGGGCCGAGAGTTCCAGTGCCAGAGGACTGGATGTTCAGCTGGAAGCACTCCATGTAGAACTGGGCCTTGCCACTAGAGAAGAGTTAGTTGATGTCGTGAATGCCGTTGGAGGAGATTACTTACACGTGACCCTCGTGAAGACCAATGTGCTCGACACGGACAAGGTATTCACCAGCAGGAATGCTCTTCTGGATGGTCCACTCGAGCCTATCCTTGTCCCAGTTGGCCCAGCTCTTGTCAACACCAGGGGCGCTGGGGTTGGCAAGACCGCTCTCCATGACCTTGGTCCAGACGCCGCTGCCATCGTAGTCCTTGACCTTTCCGGGAGCCTTGGAGATGTAGACGAATCCAGGACCGGGGTGCTCGATCCTCTCGTTGTTGAAGATCTTGAAGCCGATCTTGTCACCGGCCTTGACGGTGTAGGTACCGGTGTTACCAGCGACAGCGCCCCTGTTGCAGCGGAGGTCGTTGGAGTTGACAATGTCGTTGGTGATGACGGGGTTGTACGCGTTGCTGTTCTTACGAGCGTAGGCGTACTCGCCACCAATGGTCTGGCCGTTGACGACGAGAATGTTGAAGATGTAGTGGGCATTGGCCGCCATGGGCGCCGCAAGCAGAGCGAGGAGAGCACCAGCCTTCATGTTGGAGGAGTAAAGAGTAAGTTGAATATATGTTCAAAAGAAGAGAAGATTGCAAGAAGCGAATGAATGAGTGAGAATCGAAAGTCGTGGACTGCGATGGTTTCTACAGCAAGGCGAACTGGGCCATACTTATACTCGGTGTCTTGTCCATGACGACGCTGGGAGTGGTGACCCAAGACATGGACTTCATCTATTCCCATCACGTCCCCCCCACACGGCGCTGTCATGGGATCCACTCGGGAGGAATGTTTGCAATGTTCTAGTCTCTATGTTTAATGAAGGCAGGAATGCCAACCATTGCCCAAGCCGTTTTAAGCGATGGCCAAGCCTCGCAAAAACAAAACAAGACCCAAGGCCGCCAAAGTACCGCTAGGGATCTTGTTTCACCGTCCGACTCTCAGTCACCTTGGCACTTTGCCTCAATCTATAATCTCCCATCCTCCACTCTGCCTCTGGCGCCCTGCCAAGCCCGCCCCTTCGTCCATCCCAGAGGGCAAAAGTTCTTTGACTTCGTTTATTTGCGGTAGTCGGCCCCGTGGTTTCGCAAGTGGCTCTAGCGCCCACGCTAATGTGGTAATTTACCTTTAGCGCTGTTTTATATCTCTTTTTCACATTAGTACTATCCATTTCACTCCAAGGTACCAAAGTATAAAGAAATCTTACGTTCTACGTATAAAAGACGATATAACTGTTTGCAATATATCCTGTATTGGAAAACCACGGGGTCAAATAACACTTGCCAACCCAGCGCCATCACGAGCACCGCTTAGCCAGCCTGCATACCTTCAAGGACCGCCTGCAGCGTCTTCTGGTACTGGACGAAGGCCAACCGCCGTGTCTCCAGCTTTGCCAGCATGTGCCCCAACTCAACTCCGTAACACCCATCAATTTGCTCCGCCCGTGCCGCCAGTAGGAAGGCATCGACTTCCCTGTCCAGCGCCTCATCGCTGCGTGCATACGCCACCCACTCCCGGGCGATTAACTGCACTTGCCTTGGCAGCAATTCCAATTGCTTGTCCCACGGCATCGACTCAATGTCTTTGTAGAGCAACGGCAACTGCGCTCGACACAAAGGGCATGTCGGATTCTCCTTTTCCCTATCGATGTGCCATGACTTCAACCAAGTTTGCAGACAGTCCCTTCCTATCATGTGGCCGCAGTGTAACTTGATTGGGACCTCCCCCCCTTCCGCTGGTGTCTTGGCCACTTCCTCCTGGCAGACGGGACAGTCTTTGCAATCTGGGCCTATCATGTCGTAGGCTATAGATGTCTGGAAGAGCACCACCCTATCGTCTGCAGCAATCTTGCCGGCTTCAACACAGCTTCCGCGGATCGTTTGTAAAAGGAAACGCTCATGGTATGTGACCCAGCCCACCAGCCCCACAACTGCCTGCCAATCAGGCAACCAGGGTTCCTTTGTATAATTCGAGCAAAGAAATTGGTACCACCGCGGCAAACTCCACTTCACGGTAAAGGCGGAAAAGTCAAGACCTCCGTACCGTAGACCACCGTCGCTCGGAAATGTGCTTCGTCCTTCCTTCCTCGCCCGCAACAAGAACATAACTCGGGCTGCTACAACACTATGCTTCGTCTCGCCCAGCACCGCGACCTCCAGCTCAAGGGGCTCGGCTGCACGGATATCTTCGCGGGGAAGGGGGAAGATCTCCTTGTCGTGAACCAAGTATCGAAGCTTTCGCTCATACTTCCTAATCCGGTGGATGGTCTCTAGATGACGCTGAATTACCTCGTGATTCCACCATTCCGGCTGACTCCTTTCCATTTCGACTGAGAGAAATGATTTCGTGAGAGACAAGGACATCTGCGATGCAGATCGCCAAAACGGGGCCCAGAAACCGCGCCCCATATCTTCAATCTTACAGGTTTCTATGAAATCTTCGCATTCTTTGCGAGCCTCTTCACACATGAGGAAAAGTTCCTCTTTTGAAGAATCCATTGTGTTTGTTTTCGATTGTCTTTCGATCTGTAGTAGTTGTAGTTTAAATCGTACTGTTTGTCTGTGTGATAAGGAACACTTTGGGACAAAACTGAATTTAAATAAGTGATTTTTTGATCGTTGTGCCTATACAACACACGATCAATTGGATGGTTTTTCACGATGAGCGTAGAGGATCACCCTGCATCGTTACTTGCACTGTGTCATTGACCTGTCCCAGATGCTCACGTCAACGGATCTTTTTCACCATTGTGACCTCAACACTGCACTGACTGACTACACAGAGTTCGTTATGCATCAGAATATTAAAATCTGGCCTCATAGTTACCCTTTTTTTTAAATCAAACATCGATATCCACAACCGCAACTCACAAAACAACATCACACTCACGCAACAAGAACCACAGGACAAGTCAAAATAACATCAGACCACCAACATGGACTACGCCAAGTCAGCTGTCAGCCAGCCTCCTCACGGTAACGTCCCATGCTCGGATCCATGCCAACCTCCCGCGGTGAGCAAGCCGCTCACCAACGAGTCAAGCAACGCAGTCGCTGAGCAATGCTCCCAAGGCAAAGCGGGCCTCGCTCCCTCGGGCTGCAACTCCAGCTCTTCCGCTAAGCAATCCACCGCCGCCTCCAAGCTTCCACGCCGCGCACTGCGCTGCTGTCTCGGCCTGCAAGACCTAATCACCACCTTCCTCACCGAGCACTCTCAACCCTCCATCGCCACCACCAACTACCGTCTCATCATGCAACAAGCAGGCACACTTCTCTTATCCATGGAACATGCGTTGCGCGACCTAGAACTCGCCATTCCAGCCAAGTACCACTCTCTGTGGCTTAAGCATCAGATCGATGGGTACACTGCGACGCTCGAGGCCCTGCGCAAATTCATGCGTGAGCATGGCTCGCCAGGCCGTGTCTTTGACATCGGTAAGTAGTCAGGTAGGTGGGTTGCCCCCCCTCCCCTCCCCGCTTCTTTCGTTGCACCGCACTGCACTGACGGGTGGCAAATTGGGGGAGATTTGAGAGAGCTGAGAAGTGTTGAGGCAGATATGACGGACGAATGACGATGGGGAAATAATGGGGTACGACGTTTCACGCAGACCAACATCTATGTCATAGAGTAGAAATCAGAATTCACGTTTTTGTTACACCGTTTGTTGTGCACCGTTTTTTCTTCTTCTTCTTCTTCTTCTTCTTCTTCTTCTTCTTTTCTTTTTGTGTGTTCTTTTGCTTTGCTACCTTGGGTCGTTTCTTTTTTTTTGCTGCCGCCGCCGCCCTTCGAACATGACTAGGGGAGCGGAGGGGGGCGGGTTCTCGCAGTCTACCGGGGTGTCGTGTTTCAGATGTCTTGTAGTTACACATAGAACAAAGAAGCGGGGTGGGGGCCAACACGGAAGCTTGCGGATATGCAAGAGAAAGGGGGGTGGAGTGGAGGGTTTGTAAATGTTCGGATCGACATTGCGAAATATCAGTCGTATGGTGTTTTGGGCGGAGTCGTGTCGTGGTTTTTAGGTTGAGCAAGTTGTTATGGTTATCGAAAGTTTATTGGTAGAACGGCAGGGATGGGGGGCGAAGGAGGCTTGCCCCGCTTGGTATAACCTGCAGGGTCTTTGATGTACGCGGCCGAACTTGGTTTAGCTGCCGCTCAACACTAAGTTGGCAGATGCGCTGTTGTAAGAACAACTTTCGTGTTGATTCAACACCACTGTGTATCTTTTAGTAGTGCAGGTGTGTGATCCTCGCTTGTGGTATCTAGGGGTTATGCAGACTGATTCTACATCATGCGACGAAACTATTGAATCAAAATTTGAACTTATAGCCACGATTCTACTTGAAGAATGAATGTTAATATACTGACTGATAAATCATCGCGTAAATCAGACATGATTGTGGATCTGTATGCGAGGGTTGACGACTTTAGCATTTGATTGGAGAAAAAACAGTTTTTGCTTTTTGGATATACTTTAATGATATGATCTATCGGGACCGACACTCAGTAGGAATAATGATTTATCATAATTTTTGTTATAACCAAACTCACTGCCTACTGAAAACTCTGAGTCTATGATCATATACAAAGATTTCATACTGAAATTCTTATCACCTGGCGCGAGCATATTTGTGTACGATGCGAACTACGCTCACATTCTCTATCGTGCTTTGCAAAAATCGTCGTTCGGGGCGGAAATAGTGAGACAGAATATACACAAAGTTTTTGGCGTGTCACTTTCAACATGGAAATAATCGGATTTGATGTATTCTCAATTGTCTTTCGTAATTCACGATGACATATCATATGCATCTTTCTAATTCTGATCTGAGTAAAGACAACATATCCCATCGCTGTTGCATTGGATGTAGCACCTTCGCTATATTCATTCTCTATCCGATTTTCGTTCTCTTCGCAAGCAGTCACTTAGTGTGTGTTATTTTTTCACGCAAAGAAACCAATTTTCAGCACCTTGCACAGGACTTGTATTGAAAACTATTCTAAAAACGTAGCAAGCATAGGCTGGGATATGGGATAGTTCTAAGATCAACGCGAACAAACGCAATCACAATTTGAACCCATGATCGCATGCAAATATCAACTAATGTAGTTTACCAAGAGAAGCGCTGTGATGCAAGAAATCTATTCATGCAGGCATTACCACAAAACTAATGCGCACAACCCGAGATATGCCAGAAGCATCCGTGCCCCCAAATGTGTCGGTGCCATTTTCATGTCAAAGCATAACAACCCTCGTATGTTGGGAGGCCCAGAGCAGACTGACACAACTAGTCGGTGCGTTTCATCTATCTCGACACCTTGGCAGCGTATCGCGCATCGCCTCCCCGAAGCCAAGCATTCGCCAATCTGCACTAACTCAGCCAAGCAAGTCGGAAATTAATGACAAGAGCGGGGGAAAACAAGGTTTCACGGCGTGACTGCGCGGTGATTGATGCGAAATAAACGGCCCTTTTAAACCACCGTTACATCTTCGATAGAAGGTGAGGCGCCTTCTATCCTGATCGATGATGAAAGTCGATCAGCAGATGAATAACAATATCTTACTCCAGGAAGTATGCCAAGTTTAGTAGCTGTACAACATCTCTATATTTGGCGTTACTCCAAATACGCAATTTCCAGCCCAATACACATGCCTCCTGCATGTACACGATGCACGCGTGCTCGTTTGATTCTCACAGACATGGATGTGTTTGTCTGTACATAGCTCGATTTGAAGTGTGTGTCGGGTTGCTTCTCCGCTTTCCGCCCGGAACCCCAATATGTAGTAGAGCCAATAGCACTGCTACTATTACGTACGTAGTGACACAACTGCCGACATAATCAATACCGACAAACGCCCTTGCATACTCAGCCAGGAAAGTATATGCGCAGCCTTCGAACATCGTCACACAAGGCCTAACAATGAATGACTACTCTACCCCAAACGGCGTCAAGCACGCCCGCCAAGAATTAGGAATCCAGCCTCGGCTGTACTCTATCAACAACCCGCCCTCATTGGAAGACTTCAAGAAGCTAACAACGGAGTCTTCATCAATTCACTATCCGCTTGCAAGCACTGTCGAGTCGCACGTGCCGATATATCATCTCCCCGATTATTCATCATTGCGTCCAGAACACCATGCTGCTCTACAGGACGAATGGTACCACATCCTGCTTTCAGGCCCCGGCGTCTTCATCACCAAGAACCTCTACCAAGACACGTCTTTAATTGACGACGTCAACAAGGTCTACTCATCAATAATTGCAGAAGAGAAACAAGCGTCTAGCCAACGCGGCGATCACTTTGCAGGCGCCGGCGCAAACGACCGCATCTGGAATTCACTATCCAAACATTGCCTCCTGGATGCAGCCTCATTTGTAAAATACTACTCCAACCCTTGGCTTCTATTGATATCCGAGGCATGGCTCGGTCCGTATCACCGCTTGACTGCACAAGTCAATATTGTGAAGCCCGGCGCCCAAGCCCAGATTTCGCACCGAGACTACCACATTGGGTTCCAAGATAGCGAGTCATGCGCCAAATTCCCAAAAGGAGTGCAGGTTGCATCGCAATTTCTCACGCTACAAGGTGCAGTTGCGCATTCGGATATGCCCGTAGAAAGTGGTCCGACGCGATTGTTGCCGTTCAGTCAGAAGTTTGAGCAAGGGTATATGGCATATCGGATACCTGAGTTCCAGGACTTCTTTTTGGAGAATTATCTTTCGTTGCCGTTGGACAAAGGTGATGGATTGTTCTTCAATCCTGCGCTGTTCCATGCTGCAGGTCAGAATGACTCTGCGGATATCATGCGCTCGGCGAACCTACTGCAGATTTCGTCGGCGTTTGGTAAGCCCATGGAATCGATTGATACGTATCCTCTTATTGAGCACACATGGGATGCGCTGTCAGAGATGTATGTGAAGAATAGGTTCAGTGATAAGGTTAAGGCGTTTGTCAGTGTTGTTGCAGAAGGGTATCCGTTTCCCACCAATCTTGATAGGAGAGTACCCGAGGCCGCAGGTATGGCTCCGACAAGCGAGCAAGACTTACTCTTGAAGTGTTTGAAAGATGATATTTCAAAGGAAGATGTGCTGGCTCAGCTACGGAAAATGAAGGAGGATTCGAGGGCGTGAACTGCCATGCAACCACGTACTGGATAAGTATGAGTTGCCATCCACAGTCATCATGATACAATCGTACACCTAAGCACAAGTGTTGTAGTGCTAAAGTTTCTGTTATTCAATATGCCATTCAATGTTGCAGTTGCATGAATGCTCACTAGAAGTTGAAGTATGATACAACACATCTCACAATACAATCATACATTTCCCAAAGACACTCATGAACATTGTCAAACATAGTACCCAACCCACTGTTCGCTATACACCTAACATGTCAAACCAATTCAACACTTCCACAAACATCATCTACTCTTACATTACCCCATCTCCATCCACCAATCCTCTCAAACTCATCACATTTCATAGTCCCCGCCCACCCACCAACTAAGCATATACCATCCAACATACACGCAAGTAGTGAAGAAAGAAAGAAAAAACAATGTCCAACACAACCCCAGACACCCTCCTAAAACTCGCCTCTGAACTCTCCGCGCTAGGAACTACCCTCTCAGCCGCAGGCACCAAACTCGCAGCCGCAGCTGCATGTCTGGAGCAAGAAGCAGCAAACATTGCTCTTGCTAACGCACAAAAGTGGGGGGTGGATGTTCAGGTTCGTTGTTCCCTTATTCCTTTCATTTCCCACATATTCTAGCTTTCTAGAGCGATTTTTATTTTGGAAGGTTGGTTTTCACAAAGGGGGGTTTTTTTTTGGTAGGGGGCGGTGTTGGATAGAAAGAATAGAGTTGATCAATGGACACATTTAGGTTGCGGTTAGGGCGGGACCGGGAGTGTATACTGCACAGGGAAAGGGGGAGGGACATGAAGTTGTTGTTAATGGGGTTAAGAAGTGACTTCTTGATTTTGAGGGAGATGTCAAAAAAAAAAACGGTAGTTTCGAGAAGGGAAATATGATCGGGCAAATATGTGCGACTTGGACAGAGTGGAAAAATATTCGATACTCGATCATGCACCACATCTTCTTCACAGGAAAGGCATAGTTTATGATACCTCTTGGTGTTGACTTCCACTTGTGACATCTGCATCACATGATTACGCCTCTTACCTTTTACCACGATGCTCTGACCGTGCAAACTTTGATCCGCTCTCTGGGCACCGGAAACTGCTTCGAGTCTAGTGCAAAATTTATATCTGATCATCTGATAAGATCCGATAACGGATGGGCTTTCTACCAATCATACAGCAATCTGCGTCCGAACAATCTCCGCGATTGTTCCAGCCAAAGAACGTAACGTAAGCGTATAGTACAAGCGCCTGTTGTCAATGCCACAAACAGCGATTATGGCGTGACTGATACTTTCAACCGGCACCTCTTCGGCCAGCTCAACCAGCAATCTAGTAAGAAAAATGCCTCGGCGTACGAATTTTCTTATAGACAAGTCACTCAAGAGCACGTGAAACTCATCAAAAATCAAACGTAAATGTTACACGTAATACGTGAAGAGATGTGTTCTCCTATTAGTCTATCCTATGATCATTATAGTCTGATCACTGCTGTAGTAAAACCAAGTAGTGGAAACAAAAATCAGTAAAATGACCGCCCTGCCGTGATTCGTAATCTTTTTTTTTGCGACTGCTAATCCCGTCACATGGGATGTACAGTCAATCGTAATGATGACTCTGCAACGACCAATGCCGATAAACTATGGCAGAATGATGGTCTTTGGAATCAGAGATGGAAGAAATGTAAAGTTAGTTCTTGTCACAGTCCAGCATGGGATGGTCATCGGACTTCTTCATGGGAGTGGAAGACTTCCGGCGCCTCTCTTCTGCTTCTTGCACCAAGCGTGCATATGTACCATCGGATGGACGAGGCTTGATGGGACCCGGAGCATGCTGCAGAGTAGTGAGGATGCTGCTAGCATCCAGCTCCATAGCGCTGTACATGCCGGGCTCCATGGTGAATGTGTTCTTTCGAGCATCTTCTTGCGCAAAGGTTGGAGGGACAGGCTTCAGTTGTCGCCAATCCATTTGCGTGTCGACTCGCCCGACAAGCAGCTTGAAAGCATCACTGCAGCCAACCGTGTCTCCACGGCCTACAGGGCTGCTCATGTCGATACTGGTAGAGGCCTTGGGCTCCATGGTTCCTAGCACAAAGCTCTTTGTTGAGTTGCGTCGAGAGTTGGGCGGTGTCGCTTCGCTGCGAAGCTGTGCAACCCTTTGGCACCAGGCGCGCTGCTCAGGGTTCGCTTGACAATCAGCACAGGAACCGGGACCGGTCACAGCCACACTTGACTTGGTAGGCTTAGAGGGGGTAGTTGAAATGGGCGCTAGTGATGAGGTTGCATCTGCAGCTTCGGAACGCAAGCTTCTGCAGATGCAAGACTCTGGCTGGTCTGCGCAAAAACCACAATCGGGAAACTTTGCGTCTTCGGCCGAAGAGAGGAGTGCAGCCGGATCGGCATCATGGGGTTTTGGTTTACTGAACGCAGCTGTAAAGTCTGTTTCGAATTCGCTGTGGTCGCGTGGCTTGTCGTCATCAGGCTCTCCATGGTGGACGCCTGTCATGGGGTCGACAGGACCTTGGAAAGCAGTGTCATTGGTCATCTCAGCTAGACAGGCGCAATGGTCCTTTGTGCACCGGTCGCATCCCAGATCTGTTGGTTGAGGGCTGGGAACGAGAGCTTGGGCATTGAAGTCGGTATCGAAGGCCCTGCGGAGGGGAGTGTCATGACGGGGGTAGGAGAGAGGCATGGAAGGGGGTTGGCCAGAGATGGCTGACAATCTGTCCTGCATATATTTACAAGCGTTTTTCCAATCGTCGACTTCGCTGATTAGTCTTTGGTTATAGTTTTTGAGTTTCTCGATTTCACTTCTGAGTTGGTCACGCTCTCTCGCGTGGTCAGTATTAGCACTCAAAAGTTGCCTAGAGACCTGATTCAACGACTCCTGCAGATCCAGGACGGTCCTCTGCTTGCGCTGGCGAAAGTTACGCTGCGACTGTCGATTTTGGGCCTTGCGCTTCGACTCTGGCTCCTCGGTGGCGGGCTTGCGGCCGGGCTTGGGGCGTGGTGGGACGACATGGGTCTTGCTGAGCGGGCCCCCGCCAGTCTGGGGAGGGCCAGCGTTGGTGTTGGGTTCAGGAGACAACGTGGCGACCGAGTCGTGCGCAGAGACTGCGGGGCAGGGGACGAGGGCTACCAGTCTGTCAGTACCAGTACATACCGTCAACTGTGGTGTTGTGCAGCCAACAGCCGCGGCAAACCGCGGGTGGGACAAGGGAAAAGCAATGGACGGTGTACACTCACTTCGACTGGGTCGGCGGGAATCAGTGTTTTCCACGAGCGCAGTGGGCGACTGAGGCGATGCACCGGGTGAGTTGTAGGCAGTAGGCGAGGCAGCACAGCCAGCGGGTGCATTGATGTAGTTGAGAAGCATCTCGTTCCTGATAGCCACCACCGCTTGTTGGGTAGAGGTCAGGTGCGAATGGAGAAGCGCGCTGTTATCAGATGGATATCCTAGTTTATCAGATCGAACCACCAAACCCCGAGTCCCGCCGAGCTCGGAGCGGAGCGGGAAAACTTACCGGCTATCTGAAGCAGTGAGCCGCCGAGCTGCACTCCACCACCAATACCCTGTGCAAGGTGAGTGCCGCTGCTGTCAACATCCTCACCAAATCTCAGCCCGTCCAATAGTGTTGGCTGACCAAGCAGCTCTGCATCAAACTCCCAGTCAAAGTCCATGGCGATGCTGATGATTGCGCGTTGCGTCGCTGGATAGCAATGGACTGCCTGAGAGAAGGCGCGCATTTGTCAGATACTTATATACTCCTGTGCTCGCTCTCTCTTGGGGCACCTCCATACCAGGCAGTGACGGATCAGATCGCTGTGGTTCAGCAACGACCATGGATTCCACAGCTGGCCCGTTTTTTTTTGTGTAGCCCTCGGCCTCAACATGCTGACATTCTCTCCAAAACCTATTTGCTAGGTTCCATGAGAAAAATTGAAGAAAAAACGTATCCGTTCCTCATCTATGGGATGGCATTCGTCTATATCAGGACCAGCCTCCCCCGTTATAGCCACGAGAGTCACTTCCAATAATGGGCCCCCACCACAAAGTGCTCTGTCTACTTGCGTAAATCTCCGTACTTCTTGGACATACTAACCTCCACCAATCGAACAAGCCACGGAGTGTCGCACAGCCTGCCCCAGCAGTGTCCGACAAATATATTGCATATGGCATGCACAATTTGCAAGATTTCTGGTGTGGAAACGAGGCGCTCTGGTTCATCCTACTAGCTCCAGTTGAGCGTACCTTGGCGAAGCAGTCTTCTGAACCAGAGGCCCACCGAAAACCATAGCCACTACCCAAAGCCTATACCGTGGCCCCTTGGCTTTCAAGATTCCCACCCTCGCCTGGCACCCTCAGCCTTAGAATTGCAAACTGCCCATGGTCCCTGCCCCCCGGACTCTTTACAACGTCTGCAGGGCCCACCTTACAGCGCTCCTGTCCATCCTTGTGAGCCCCTACAGTGACTTCCTTGATCTAGCCGTGGGAATGCTATAACGCCTACATGAAGTCATTCTGGTGATGATCAAAGGCATTCTGCAACTTGGTGCGCCATATGACCTTTGGTGGTTCGAATGAACAGAGCGAGAAAGCGGTACGTCAGAACCTGGCCACGGAGCCCAAGGCTGGAAGAGGTCAATACGCGATACACCTGCCATTCATTCACCAAGGAGGTCGTGTTAGTGCAGTGATATCATCTTCTCAATCACAATCAAGGCCAACACCTTGCACACTTCGGGGCGCTGAACATATGGCTCCACACCGGCAGGATTTGGGATAGCAGTCAACTGATGCAAGTTGCGCTATCCCACATTGTAGGCAAAACGATGCCAGATGTGGGAAAACATCTTCCCAGCTCATCACATTCACGTTGGGAAACACCACATGCACAGTCAGCCCATTCTTGCAAATGGGTGATGTATATGCCTCTTCGCACTCGGTTGGGCGAAGCTGTATGGCCCCGTTCTGAGCCGGCCATCAACGTCTTTGAATCCAACAAATTGCTTATAGCATACTCAATAATGCAGGAGCTTCACTTGCAATCACACTGCCGCGGAGCATGCCAATCCGATGCCTTTGTGAGCTTGTGTAACAGCTTCTATTTGGTCCAACATGACGATGTAGTTTCATTGCCTTGGGTCCTCCGTATTCATACACTAGTCTTGTAGACCGCCATTCCGTGATTTCATCATATTGTTTAACAACCAGCACCTCGGATAGCCCTAGTCTTCGGCCCCTTTGAAGCACAGGCTGAGAGCTCCTCGGTCTCACCAACAAGTCACTGAAGCCAAAGTATCTCATTCACCCAGCACCGATCTTGACAAGCGAAATCTCACATTTGGATGTCGGCTGCGTGCTAAACTGGAACCTTGTGGGCCAACCCACTGGCATACCTGTCGTCACTCCAGCCTCACGTCCCCCAGATTTGACATCGATTCACGGCTAGAATTATCAAAATAGAGAAATTGAATCATCACTTCCATATTAATGACCAAAAAAAAAGCCAATCATATCATCTCAAGTGCCCAACGTGCTATATACATCATGAACAAAGTGTCTCTCCAACAACCCCTACAATCCATCAAGTCTTCACCGTATCCCCGCACACACACTTTCCTCTCCTACTAACCAATCATACGGGAGCTTTCCCCAGGTTCAAATATGGTGGAAGTGTGGAGACGATCAAAAACATGACTTCTTATCCGCCTTATCTCCATCAGTGAGCCACAAACTGGGAGAGAAGCGGCCCACAATTCCCACAATTAAGTAACGAGTCAAGTCTGGTTTGGGAAAGCGAAGCCTAAGACCTACACTTCTGGACATACAATTTGCACTTATTTAAGATGCGCTAACCAGTTTCGAATAAGGAAGCCTTGTTTCCTTCCGATGATTTTGCGGCGTTGGCGATGATGTCACGGTAGTGTTGGGTAAGAAAAAATTGGGTTGCACAACTCAGAGTTTGCGCCGGAATATTGCGCCACACCAGATTTTACATGACAATAATGTTTCTATCCAATCCCATGCCGAGTTCTCCTTGATCACCTGCTCTCCACCCAGCGCCTCGAACAAGGCGAATACGCCTCACTCCCAGACAAACACCTCAAAAACAGTCCCAAATCTTAGGCACTGGCGCGGAAGACAACACTGTTTCCGTGTCTCCACCTTATCGTCTCTCGCGCATTCATTACGTGCAGCGCCCGCGCAAGAGCCTGTTCAGAGTATCCCTTGCCATCCACCATTTCACGCTTGAGCGTTGACAGGTTGACTTGCCACCCGATGGGCATACGGCGCCGGAGTTCCTCTTCCACCTTGTTGACCTCATCCATGAGTTCCTTTGAACTCTGTCCTTCGCCCTGGTTCACCGCGTCCATGGTAGACGCAAGGAACAGGCGGATTGCTTCATCGACGTGAGACTCATCTGCTATGGGCGAGAGCGATAGCTTGGCTAGCGACTCTGTGATACGGATAATAGCTTCCAGTTGACGCACCGTAATCGGGATGCTAGACCGTTGGTTGGCGTTGACTTCGGAAGCGTGCACTTGTCGCCTGATGCTAACAAAGTGGCTCGAGAGTTTCTCCGCTGCTTCGGGTGAGAGACGAGGTGCGCACCGTTGTCGGCAGTAGGTGATGTAGCGCTTCATCTTTTCAATCGGTATCTCGGCTTGTACACTTTCTTCCACACCGCGCCCGCCCATTGCGATGCCCATGACGTGCTTTGCTATCCGCTCGTCACGTCCACGGTCATGCTCGTCGCGCACAATGAAAATCATATCGAAACGCGACAGGATGGTAGTTTGGAAATCGATGTTCTCACCAGGTGTCTTCATATCGTCGTAACGTCCGAAAATCGGGTTGGCGGCCGCCAAAACCGATGTTCGCGAGTTGAGAATCGTTGTGATACCTGCTTTGGCAATAGAAATGGTTTGTTGCTCCATGGCTTCGTGGATAGCTACTCGGTCTTCGTCGCGCATCTTGTCGAACTCGTCAATACACACTACACCACCGTCTGCGAGAACCATGGCACCTCCTTCGAGATAGAACTCGCGCGTGTTGTGATCGCGTTGCACCGAAGCGGTCAAACCAGCGGCTGAGGATCCTTTTCCGGATGTGTAAATAGCGATTGGCGACACTTTCTCAACGAATTTGAGCAACTGTGACTTGGCGGTACCTGGGTCACCAAGAAGAAGCACGTTGATGTCACCACGAAGTTTCATTCCATCTGGTAGAATCTTCTTTGAACCACCCATTAGCAAGCAGCAAATGGCCTTTTTGATATCCTGGTTTCCATAAATGGAAGGCGCAATGCACCGCGAAAAGACCTCGTAGATGTCTGGTCTGCGGCTCATCTCGAGGAATTCTTGCTCTTCCTCCTCGGTAAAAACCGCATTTCCCTTGGTTCCGTGATCGACTTCTGCGTGGATGCCGACGGCGCGTATGTAGGGATTGCGAATGGCTACAGCAGCGTTTCCTGCACGCTTGGAACCCTTTTGCTGGTAAATGGAAAAGATGCCCATGACGGAGCACCGTGTACCAGGAACAACGCGGTTAGCAAGATATCTGTCGGCAGAAATCATAATGTGGCGCGGCAGTTCACCAACTGGAACCATATCAGGCGCTTCTTGCAGCTTGAGCACTTGCTGGTCGATAAACTGGCAGCGCTCGTGCATGACATAGTATGGGTCCAGCGGACACTGCTCTCCGACCTCGCCTTCTCCCCTTTTCCTGCTGCATGTTCTTGGAAGAGAGACTCCTGAGAAGCCGCCAGCTATAGGAAGGATCTCTTCATGCTGGCAATTGCGGCATCGAATAGCGAGGGCTGTGGCCTTGGAGGAAAGCGTGGATGCACCAATGATGATACCGGGTATGCGTACGAGTTGTGAGACGTTTGTAGCGGTGAGGTCACGGATGGAAAGCTCTGAAGCGTTGGAGTGGAGGAGCAATTGGTGCTGAGGTAGGGATATGTTCTTCTGTGAGGGGTAGACGATACGCTGCGTACATGTCTTGAGGGCGGCTTCAAACTGGCCAATGTCAATGCTTGTATGAAGAAGGAGAGAATACGACATACAAGAGGTATGATTTCAGCCGGGTTCTGTCTAAGGTCATGGGCCAGCTCGGGGCTGTAGCTGATGAGATGGGCAACGTCAATATCACAGTAGTATTGCTTCAAGAGCACGTTCTCGCGTATTTGATCTCTGGAGACCGTATCAGTCCCGCACTTGTTGGTTCATGACTGCTTTTTCGTGTACCTGTAAACGAAGATATTATCCAGGGTAAACTCCATGATAAAGTCCACCAATGCTCGTTGCACGCGCGAAGGCGCAGTGTCATCCTGAGGGCCATCGCCTGCCTGGCTGCCGAAAAGGCTAATGGAAAACGGTGTCTGTCTGTCTGCCATTATCTTCGTGGGTCGTAAGTCGTTATGGTGTTTGTATGTGGAGGTAGAGAGGGGCAGACAAAGCCGTCGTTAGGGGCGACGCGAATTGTGAAGTCGCGCTCGCGTTCTTGGTCTGAGCGCCCTCCATTTTGCAGCCGTGTTGGGCCTAGCGCTCCCCGCTCCAGCACCTTTTCTGCGATAAATATCAGATTCTGAATTCTGTTTAATCTCTCAAAGTACTTCTTGCATGCAGAGCATATGTTCAAATGGGTCGAATTTTCATCATGACAAGTCGAATGAAGAGAAGTCCAAGATCGACGAAGATATACTGAAAACGGCAAGCATTAAGACCTGCTAGATTGATATGGGCTCTTGAGTAAATGTGTCGAAAGACAGATAAGCTCATACGTGTTGTTACCTCTGAGGCTTACAATACATGAGTACATATTATTGATAAGTTGGAGCAATATCAAGGAATGGCAACTCGTAGCAAAAAGCTGTGATTTAGTACATAATCACTCTAAGCCTTACGAAAATCGAATTCCCTAACATCCCCTGCCTTCGTCTCCAACCTCATACGACCATTAGAAAAGCCTTCAGCCTGCCTAGCAGCAATCGTCGAATTGCCACTACCGCCGTACTTCAGCACAACCGGTCCACCGACCCTACTTTCCATCCTCATATGCACAAGCTTTCCATCCGCCCACTCAAGATCAAACACGAACCCGCCTCTCGCCGCTATTCCATTAACAGATCCATCGCTCCATTCTCCTGGTAGGACGGGTAGCAGCCATACTTCTCTGACGCCCTTGTCGTCGACAACGTGTGATTGTAACAGGCCTTCGGCAACACCGCTTACGAACCCGAGGTTACCGTCGATCTGAAAGATACCCTCATTGACATCCATCAAATTGTTGAACACGCTCGTGTTGAAGAACTGAAACGTATTCTCTGCAAGCGCAGTCTTATTTTGTAACCGAGCGTACCAATTAATCGTCCATGCGCGCGACCAACCCGTTCCCGCACCGTTGTGCGATAGACGGTCCTCGAGAGTAGCAGCTGCGGCGTTGAAGAGTTTAGCATCGTAGCCTGGGGCGCCGGGAGGAAGGATCTGGGTTCCTGGGTAGAGAGCATAAAGATGGGAGACGTGGCGGTGGCCTGGCTCGGCTTGCTCGTAGTCTTGCATCCATTCTTGCAATGTGCCTGGGTAGCGAGTTGAATACCGGTATGGTGGGAGTTTGGCTTGGGTGTCGCGGATGCGTGTTAGGAATGAAGAGTCTACGGTTGAGTTTGAGAGGGTGGCGACGGCGTTGAGGTAGTTTGTGAAGAGCTCATTGAGGATTTCAATGTCGCATGTGGGTGCGGTGTCGAAGTTGTAGGACTTTCCATCTGGGCCTACATATGTGTTTTCTGGGGAGACAGATGGGTTGGTAACAAGGTACTCGGTTCCATTGGCCTTGTAGGGTTGAAGTGTGTCCAGGTAGAATTCAATGGCTTCGGATACGATATGCAAGTTTGAAGAGAGGAAGCTCTTGTCACCTGTGTACCAGTAATGCTCGAGTATGTGAGTGACGAGCCATCCGGAAGACAGTGTCCAGTATGTAGCGGGTAGATACGTATCTACAGGTGCCGTATCGCCCCAAAGATCTGTGTTATGATGGCTCATCCACCCAGAAGCATTGTACATAGCTTTAGCTGTGTGCATTCCATCCTTGCGCATCAGTTCCAGAAGATCAAAGAACGGTTCATGTAGGCTAGAGAGACTTGTAACCTCTGCGGGCCAGTAATTCATCTGAAGATTGATGTTGACAGTATATTTGGAGCCCCACAACGGGTCAAATTCTTTGTTCCAGATGCCTTGGAGGTTCGATGGCAGATTACCCGCTCGAGAAGAAGCGATGAGGAGATAGCGACCATAATTGTAGGC